GCTACAATGTAAAGTAGTGAGTGTACAGCTTGTATATCAGTGTACATTTGCTCTCCCCTCAAAATAACTCCACACACAGCCATTAATGTCTAAACCGCTGGCAACAAAAGTGAGTACACCCCTAAGTGAAATGTCCAAATTGGGCCCAAAGTGTCAATATTTTGTGTTCACTGCATTAACCCTCTTGGGCATGGAGGTCACCAGAGCTTCACAGGTTGCCACTGGAGTCCTCTTCCACCTCCTCCATGACGACACCACGGAGCTGGTGGATGTTAGAGACCTTGCGCTCCTCCACCTTCCATTTGAGGATGCCCCACAGATGTTCAATAGGGTCTAGGTCTGGAGACATGCTTGGCCAGTCCATCACCTTTACCCTCAGCTTTTTTAGCAAGGCAGTAGTCATCTTGGAGGTGTGTTTGGGGTCGTTATCATGTTATAATACTGCCCTGCAGCCCAGTCTCCGAAAGGAGGGGATCATGCTCTGCTTCAGTATGTCAAAGTACATTTTGGCATTCATGCTTCCCTCAATGAACTGTAGCTCCCCAGTGCCGGCAGCACTCATGCAGCCCCAGACCATGACACTCCCACCACCATGCTTGACTGTAGGCAAGTCACACTTGTCTTTGTACTCCTCACCTGGTTGCCGCCACACACGCTTGACACCATCTGAACGAAATAAGTTTATCTTGGTCTCATCAGACCACAGGACATGGTTCCAGTAATCCATGTCCTTAGTCTGCTTGTCTTCAGCAAACTGTTTGCGGGATTTCTTGTGCATCATCTTTTAGAAGAGGCTTCCTTCTGGGATGACAGCCATGCAGACCAATTTGATGCAGTGTGCGGCGTATGGTCTGAGCACTGACAGGCTGACCCCCCCCAACCCCTACAACCTCCGCAGCAATGCTGGCAGCACTCATACGTCTATTTCCCAAAGGCAACCTCTGGATATGACGCTGAGCACGTGCACTCAACTTCTTTGGTCGACCATGGCGAGGCCTGTTCTCAGTGGAACCTGTCCTGTTAAACCGCTGTATGGTCTTGGCCACCTTGCTGCAGTATGAGAGAGTGAGAGCGATAACACCAAAGTTAACACACCTTCTTCCTATTCACACCTGAGACCTTGTAACACTAACGAGTCACATGACACCGGGGAGGGAAAATGGCTAATTGGGCCCAATTTGTACATTTTCACTTGGGGGTGTACTCACTTTTGTTGCCAGCGGTTTAGACATTAATGGCTGTGTGGTGAGTTATTTTGAGGGGACAGCAAATGTACACTTTTGTTATAACCAAAAAAAAAAACCAAACAGATCAGTTGTCTCCATGTTGGATTGAGACCAGCACAGTTTCTTATTGTAGGAGGCTGTGTGTGCACAGTTTTTGCGGTGCTTTTATCCGCAATGGTGCCAATTCTTGCTAGCGGAGAGCTGGCCAGTGTCTGAAGCACACCAAAAGATATGTGCTGGTTATCAATGGGAGGAACACCAGATCTGTCTTCTACACCCACCTTTATGTAAGAGATTGGAGGGTCTGTGGTTACAGGTTGAGCAGAACGGGATGAGAGGGTGGTGTGTTTCTATGGTTACTGACTGGAATCGCTGTGGGAAATGTCTTCCTACAACCCCCAGCTCTGGCTTTCCCTGGTGTGAAGCCGTCTTCATACATGGCTCATAGGTGTTCACCCCTCCTCCTGCTAATACTGGGCTAAGCTGAGGGCTGCAAGTCTGCTTCCCTCATCATGCATTATTGCTCTGCAGAAGCTGTTTTTGAATAAGTTTGAAAGCCTGAGAGCTCAATGTAATTGAGTGCATGACTGTTTGGGTGTCTGATGAATAAGGTGTGGGGGGGTTATTGCTTGAGAGTTAATAGTAACTCTCGGGCCTTGTTCACACCATCCTCAGTGCGTTCCGGCCCGATTTGTGTCCGGAACGCACTGGATTGCATTGCGTCTGGTTCAGTTTGTTGTGGGGCGGGAGGGGGCAATGTGGTCCATTAAAGTGAATTGCACCGTAGCCACGCCCTCCAGGCCACAGTGCGATCGGCCACACGGGAATGCAAGGCATACTATTTTTTTTCTGACCGGACACCCCCCCTCCCGCCCCGCAACAAACTGAGGCGGCAGCAATGCGATCCAGTACGTTCCAACCATAATCGGGCCGAAACGCACTGAGGATGGTCTGAACGAGGCCTCAAGCAACCGGAAACTAGTTATCCAGTATCTACCAATCTCCACGGGTACCGGATTAGTGTGTGTAACGAAAAGTGGCAATACTTGCCTTCCGGTAATTTTTTCTTCATGGCAGCACACAAAGGGTTAATGCTCCGCCTTCTTAGCCCCATAGGACCAGCCCCCTATAGGTTTTTCCGCCCCCTCACATGACTCATTGTGGGTGAAAAAAAATATGGAAGGTATAGCTATCCCAGTGCTTCGGGGTCAGCACAAATGTCATTTGACCTTTCTGAGGTGCTCTGTAGTGTCGCTGCATTGTGCTGTAGAGAAGTTCAGATTTGTTAGGCGTGGTACAAGTTAACACCTGATAGGTGTGTTTTTTGGTGTCTGAACTACCTCAGTCTGTAAAAAGCCACAAAATATAATGTTATCTAGTTTTGGCATACAAGCACCCTATACATGGTGGCATGGGATCCATTTTTTCTGTATATTTATTTTAAAAGTAACCCACTGGGTCGTCTTCCTTTTTTCTTCTTCCCTTTTTTTCTCCCTATGTCCATCTCAGAGCCCTGTCCTTTTTAATATTTTGTATTGGATACTTGTGACAGTTTTTTCACTGAAATGAAAAAAAATTGCAAATTTTGGGTGGTCATCAGAACAGGACACTAGTTCTGGTGACCCTGCTGCAAGGCATGGATTTCCTTAACTTTGGAGGGATTTCCTCTCGCTTCCTGTTGTGGCTATCAGACAGGAAGTGAAGATAAGAAAAAAAGGATATGAGGGACCGCATTCTTCAATAAATGTACGCTTAATTGCTGTAACTATCGTTTTGGTGTGCTGGGGACGTTGTACAACTATCGGGAAGTGAAGGTAAATCTCCCCAATGGGACACAGGGGGCCAAAAATGCTGATAGGCATTACAACCCTCCTTTACTCTATCCAAGATTTTTTTTTAAATGGCCTCAGTTCTACACAAGGGTTTGGACACGTAGCTCGGATTTTGTATTTTCAGAACCTTTTTGGGGATTTTACTGCTATTTTGTGACCCCTTCGGGAGATTGACACTTTCTTCCTGTGTCAGGTGTCACTCAGATGTCAAAGCAAGGATACATCTAATTAAAGTGGAAAAAAACAGGAGAAAACTACTAAAAAGCTAAAAAACTATGAGGAAAAAGTGGCTGCATTTGCATTTGTTGCAGCTAATTGTTGGCCACCTGTGACAACATGCACAATCTGATTCATTTACAAAGTTTTTTCATGCTTACTGCTCCACTTCTTTCATCTCGCCGCTAAGTTCCGTCTTTATGGTTTCTGAGCCTGTGGTATAGTGATGTATAAAGTCCTATATTAGTTGATTCATACTAACATTTTTAGTCACGTTCACCTCCTTTGCATTAACTGTTTCTGTACTGAGCTGATAAGATGTCGACAATGTGTTCATTGTCAGTTCTTTTTTTCTTAGGCAATTGTGTAGAACAAAAAGGAAAGCAAGATCTTTAGAATGTGATAGTGTTGTGGGAGTAAATTCTTTGTGCAGTGCTGAATATTACACTGTGAGAGAACTATGGCCTTTTGTTCTTTAAAGGTCGGGTTGTAGCATGCAATTCTTTAGCCACCAACTCAAACATTTTAAAGTGTTTTTTGGCTTTCTTTTTTTTATTTTTGGAAACTTACATTGTTGACCTTCTGAAAATACTAGTTGCCTGGTCTTGATACTTTCCTCTGAACTTAATAAGCTTCATGCTTGTTTCAAGTCGGTGACAACTTAAACTCCTGATCTGCATACTTGTTCCAAGTCAGTGACTCAAGTGCAGAATCCTTTGGAATGACATTGACCTAGCAGCCAGGCAAGTAGTGTCTTCAAAAGAAGAGATCGGCAGCTTACATTTTCCCAGTACAGATTTCTTTTCCAGATGAACTCCTGGAAGATGTCTCAGGGCAGTTGCACACCTAGGCGACACCTTACAGTGGGCAATCGTGCACGATTCCGCGCGGTCAGGAGTCGCCAAAGTGTGAACCGTTCGTGCTGTGGTGTGCCATGGCGCAACTGGGGTGCCATTGCTACCGAACACACAGCTAAAACCGCCGCGCGTCATGTATTCTAATTATTTTTCTGGGATTGCTGCGCGGATGTCACCCCATTCAAATCAATCTTTTAAAGCAGCCCTTACACACAAAAAAATACTGCCTTACCCATGGCTTCTGCACTTTAGTGTGTGATGTCACAATCCTTCCGGCAAACCTCTGGAAATACCGAGTATCTCAAATGTAATAAGCATTTCAATGCAGTATAGGACCAACTATTCATGAGATTTGGGATCCTCTGCATTACCAGGATCTTGCTTGGGGCTTTTATTAGTCTGTTTTGCTATACAACTCCTGTATTTTCCTGTGTCGCAGCACTAAGGGGAAGAGGGGGGGTCTGCACTTTGCCATGCTCGCTTCATCATACCAGTGCTTGCAAGATGTGAAAGCGGAAGAATGACTTTCTTTCAGTGACCAGCTGCTCCTTTTATTATCCAGTCATGGGCTGGAGTGAGTATTCTGTTGCTTAGGTTCAGTTTGGTCTGTAGTAAGGTCCAGGACCTTGCTCTTCAGCATGACAGGGGGTTACCTGGATCACAAGAGCAGCTGAACAGAAGTATTAAACCTTTTGACAGATAACAGTTTACATAGATATTTCAATTATGTACTTAGAAGTTGTGCCTAGATCAGCTTTAAGACCTTGTAATTGTAAATTATACTTTGTATTTGTTGAGAGTACTTTTGTGGCTTCATAATGTTACGCTAATTCTAATCGTCTTTTTTTTTAATTTTTTTTATTTTGTAGTTGCTAGGAGCTGCTTTCCTGGCTATTGGATTTTGGGCATGGGCGGAAAAGGTGAGTACCAATACTTTGTGAATCCCTAATCAAACGTATTCTGTGCAAAGTGAGCTGTAGACAGACGGTCCTCACAGATAACACAAAATGGAGCCCAGCTTGTGCTTGGTCTTGCTAAATGGCGTACACTTGCAATGCTTCTCGCAGCTGCATCCTTGTTCGATTTTTGCCACACTGTATACTTCTGAATAGCAGTTCAAAGTGTGGTTGTGATGTGAAAAGCACAGAGACCTGTCCATCAATCTCTAATCCTCTTCTAGTTGAGCCGACTATAGAAAGGATTTTCTTCTTCTGTGCTATAGGGAACATCTAGAATAAGTAAATAATGGCCAAGCAGCTGAACCACCCTGAAAAATTTCTTTTTTTTCCCCTCGTGTTTTTAAGTTCGCCTGAAAATTAGCAGTTCACTTCCTGTTATGTGTGGTGCCCAGGCACTCTTAGATCTACAGCCTCATGGCTGCGTGAGATTTAAGGCATGGTGCCTCTGACTTCTAGTCTCGGGAGATTTGTAGTGATATCACTACTGTACTGCTCACTGTTTTCCTTGCTGGAGGCTCTGACATAAGCAAAGCCTTGCCTCTACTAAGATGGCCACCATCACAGACGCTGTGCAAAACAAGGCATGGTAAATCAGTAATGGGGAAAGGTCTGCTGCAGGGAGACCACAGACAATACTGATGATTAGTTCTTTGCCCTCTGCTTGCCTTTATTTGGGCACAGCTTCCAGAGTTCAATTCCTCTATAAATCCAATTGGTAGCTTTTGGTCAGCTGTACTTTGGTATTTTGTCTTTGTACTGAGATTATGGAAGAAATGGCTGTTGGGAAGGAAGTGACTCCCCCCAGCTAACATAAGGGAGTTATTTTTATAAAGCTTATGATGTGGAAAACCTACTTTTAACCCCTTTTTTGCTAGAAAATAAATAAATCCCAGTGTTGCCCTGTAAATCTGCATGAGAAAACATGTTGGCTGTTGCAGTTTTACGGTTATCATTGGGCAGCTCATCATTCATTAATTCTGAGAAGGGCTAGGACAGGGGTTAATAGTTCAGGGAAATTTTTGCACAAAGCACAAATGTTTTACTATGGATTGTATTTATTTTTCTTTTTTCCTTTTAAATGACCTAGCTCAAAGAGAGATTCATTTAATAATCTCCTAGTTTGCAATGAATAACATTTACAGAGTTTACTCAAAGTATGAAAGGCCTCTCCCTTTAAATGCACCATATTGTTGGCAAAAGCAGAAATAAAGTGCTGTGTGGTTGAAGATGTAGCAAATGTTCAGATTCACAAAGCGGTTGTCTGTGTTCATTGGCTAGTAACACTCTGATCCAGATCTATCAGATTAAAGGAGAACTGAGGAGTGAAAATCACTCATCCTCATAGTTCGAGCCGACGTGTTACAAAGAAACTGTCACACGTCGGCTCAATAGATCTTGAAGTGAGCGAACACATACCGTCGCTCACTCACTTCTCGATCATGTCCCTGCAGATAGGCGTGATTGTCACTCACTGCTCCCTGCAGGGATTCACCCCCTCCCCTGTCCGATCCTCCAGCGCTGACTGGCGGAACGGACGGGAGAGGGGGCGGGTACAGCTGGCTCTGCCTCTAGATAGGCAGAGCCAGCTGTCAATCATGCAGCTGGGTGGATTTCGGCAGTAATGTCGGGATCTGTCCCGGCTGCGGCGTCTCAGTATACGGGGAGCTGTAGCTCGCGGTATACGGAGCTTAGGGTAACGGGAGGACGCTAGTTTGCGTCCTCCCGTGACCCTGGGGAGAACTATGGGGAAAAGCACTGACCCCATAGTTCTCCTTTTATTGCCCATGTTTTTAACCCCTACCCCTGGTTTAGGGAATTATTACAACACCCTTCAGGTGTGTGGTGTGGGTTTTTTTTTTTTTCTTTTCACCATTTATGTTTTTACTAAGGAGATTTCCCTTCACTTCCTGATTAGTGATGGGCTCGGGCGTGTTCGCAGCTCCACATGCCGAGCCCCCCAGGAAGTTGACAGCGCGCAGCGCCAATCACAGGTACTGAGACGGTGAGGGAAAATGTCTCCAATTGATTGCAATGCCTGTTTCGTTGTTTCCGCAACACGTGTCCCCATTTGGAAGATTTCCTATTATTTTGGTAACAACTCAAAATTGTGCATTTTTTTTTTGCTTTTAGTACCTGAGACAATGGTCGCCAGTGTAAACAAAGTAAATCTTCCTAGTAGGATACTCAGCGGGACCACTGAGAGGGGTGGCGGCTGGGGTTTAGGTTCCTGAAACTGAAGGAAAAAACTGGCTTTAGATCTACTTTAATTCTTGCCAATATCAGGCACTGTATTGTAATAACTCTAAAATGATAATAAACATTAATTTCTATTTTCCAACATGGAAAATTCTCTGCAACCAGTCAGGGATCATTTCCTTTTTTCAGAGAAAAGAACATGATGCACATAGTGTTGGTTCCAAATGCCTGCTGTGTGCCGGAGAAAAGTCTCATGGTGGAAAACAATGAACAGTTTGAATTAGAACTTTTAACTTGCTTAAAGCAGAGCGAAGCCTAAAAACCACAAATTTAATCTATTGCAGCTTAACAGTCCTTTTAGATGTGGTGGCTGCATTAGTTTTCTACTCTTAAAGTGACCTTAAATAGTATCCCCCCCAATGCTGCTTTAAGGTCTTACCTTAAATGATGCCTCTTGACCCGATCATCTCCTTTCCTATGATTTTCAGGAGTCCCTCCAGCGCTGGTGCCGATCTCTGATCCAGCGCTGACTCCACTCTTTCTGGCACTTCCTGTCCCACGGAGTCTGTGCGGGTGCACGCTGCCTCCTTTGACTTACCTTGTGTCTCTCGGCTAAAGATCTGTACTGCGCATGCGCCCGCCCCGTGTTCCTTTGTGGCCGCCCGAGATTTTTCAGATCTTCAGACGGGAGTGTGTGGAAGAGACACAGGTAAGTTTTTTTTAAACCTTTTTTTGGTATGTTTTTGCATCATATATCTACTGCTTGCTAGCATTAGGTGTATGCAAAAACCCCTGAGGGTTTAATTGTCCTTTTTAAGCTCTTCTCTTCTCTTCTTTTTTTTTTTTTTTTAATACCGATACTAGTATCTGTACCGATACAGGGCATTTTCACGAGTACCTGTGCTCATGAAAATGCTCAAATACTAAAGGTCAATACCGGCCCTTTACATTTTTAAACAAGTTCGGCTGCCTGAGGTCCCGCGCTTGCTGGGGACCTCAGGCAGCTGTCTTTGACAGTGACAGTCTGGCCATACATTGCCTCCTCCTATTTCCCGGCGCCAACACAGCACCAAACAGCCCAACACCTGCCTGTACAGCCCCGGAGCCTGGAACCCACCTGCAGAGCCCTGGTGAGACCTGCACGCAGCCCTGTACAATGGCTGTTTAATCATGGATTGATGGGATCTTTAATTCTCTATTGCTGTATACTCAATGGTTATACAGCAATAGAGAATGGCCACCGGCTATAGAGGGCTACAAATCTCAGCAATCCATGATTGCTGGTTGCCATTCTCCATTGCTGTATAATCATGAATTGAGTTACAGGTCAGCATATTTATAAAGAAACTGCCCTAAAATCATTAGTCTGTGTTGTTTTAGAAAAAGTAACATGTCCCTTTTAAGAAAAAGTATCAGCAAATACCTGAGGCAAAATACTTGTACATGGTTTTTAAAATCTCTGGTGTGAGTTGACAGGATTTTTGTGGACTGAGTGGTCTTAGTTCTGCCCAGTGTGTTTGCTAAACTACTCAACCACTCCTACTCCACTCAACTCCTATGCTTCAACATAAAGGCATATCTGTAGTCCCAAGATAAGAACTGGAAAAGTCGTTTGAGATAACAGTGGAAGTGTGCAGGGGGTATGTGAACACTCCTAAATGTCTGATAAACAGAAAGTGCTTCTGATAGTATATTAAAGCGAGCAAATAAGAGAAGTTCTTTGTTTAGGGTTTACTTCCGCTTTGATTATCTCTTCAATTGATGGGCATTTAATAGTCAGATTAACTAGCTGCACATTGTTGATGCGACGGCCATCTTTGCACAACCACAAGGCGTTGTGTACTATACTAGTAAATATGTTTTATCACATTCACATTTTTTTCCCCTGATGAAGTAATATACACAGAGCAGAATAATGGGCTCATATAAAAACATTGTGTTATTCATTTTTTTTAAATGGTAGAGTTGCAGATGAGACCCGAAGGGTCTGTTTTTAATTGTAGTCAAAATACTAACAAGGTTATTCAGAAAATGGTGTAGAGTTTGGAGAAGGCAGGAGAAGTGAACAATCTAGGACAACATAGCTGATTTGTAAAAATTCCCCAATTCAGCTCACTTTCCAGTTCAGCTATTTTGTCCTACATTGTTCACTTCTCCTGCCTTCTCCAAACCCTTCACCCTTTTGTGACTAACCCTGCTAATGTCCTACATTCTAGTAATCAGTCCAAATTTCTGGTTGTAATGAACTGCTCGGACTCCGTGCCTCAAACTCCTTCAACCTAAATCTCCATCCGGCCCTTCAGTGTACCATAATCACGCGCACCCTGCTGTGGAATACATCTGTTCTCTTTAAATATTTGTAAATGCTAGGCAAATATATGACTTTGCTATTGTGTGGGAACCTGAGTTAGGTGAAGTCTAAGTTTGTGATATTGTGGAGAATGAAAAAAACAAAAAACCATCCCATTCACTTTGTGGAATACGGCTTCTGTTTAGTTTTAGATAGAATGTTTTATTGTGAGGAAATGAGCAATTTCTCCCAAAGTTTTCCACATTCTTGGCTTCAGTGGGAAACCGTTAATTGACCCATCTAGTTCATTACATTAGCAGCATGCTGTGTACATGGTATCTGTGGGATTTAGCTCTCTGCTTTCCGACATTATAAGACTCTTGATGGAGAAGATGCATTAAAGATGTAAGAAGCTGGATTGTTTAACTTTATTTGCAGATTCATAATGTCTTGTATTATAGATTAGGTTAAATAGTATTCGGAGATAAACCAGGCACAGTTTTTGTAGTTTACAGTGGAAAATCCTTTGACGATCTGCCACCATATGGTGAAATCAAATGCAGAAGTTGGGTTATTGGCCAGTGAAACTCCTTCAATAGCTTCCATTAATATGCTTCATCTGCATGGCAGCCTGCATTTGACATGGCAGTATCTTAAGTTGGACAACAACATGTAGCAATGACAAGTAAAGATGCATGTAATGATCTTTCACCTATGTGCATGGGCCTTAAGCTGGCCATACACTGCTCTATTTTTTGTTTTTCGTTCAACCTGGGCTGGATGAAAAAAATAGAGCAGATTCCTTTTATCAATGCTACGAGTGTGTTGATCAAAAAAATCCCCGCTGTCTCTTCTGTATTATGACAGCTGCCCTTGGCCGCTGTCAGAATATCCAAACAGAGCCGGCAGCTTATTGGCTGCCAGCTTTGTTCCTATGAAGATTTTCTGACCAGCTCTTTTGATCAGCTGATCGAAGGATGCCAGCCGAAAGGGTGCTAACAGCGGCACCCACTATGTGAATTTCGCCCGTTTCCTCAAGAACTGGCTGAAATTCGCACAGTGTATGGCCACCTTGAGGCCCCTTTCACATTAGCTGGCCAGTACAGGATCCGTGCAGGAATCCTCTCCTGATCAGAGCAATACTTCGCAGATGTCACCGCTGTGACATCCATGACCGTACAGATTTATTTCCTCCAGCTTGCGATGGAGGAAAAAACTGCATTTACCAGACCCCATGGCAGTCTATGGGGAATCTGATGTAAACAGACATGGGTCTGTGTTCATCAGATTACCCCTTGATCTAGCACAATCCGGTCCGTCGAAACGGAACACTGTTCTGTTTGTTTTTTCAGACCCGGCCGGAGCCAGGTTTAAATGGACACCCATTTGTTTACACACGGCTGCCCATAGACTTTCATTGGGCATCTGATCGGGTCCACCTGAAAAACTGAGGGACCGACCCTATCGGAGCAGCCGCGTAAAAGGGGCCTTAGACTTTTTTTTTTTTTTCTGTTCATAGACTATTTGGCTTCTTCTATTTCTAATTTGTATTAAGCTGACCTTATGGCTAAAGTGATCCTTTTTATGGGAAAATGTACAATCTTTCTATCGATGTCATCGTCTTCTTGCATGCACCTCCACTATGCACTGCATGTTTGAGCTACCAGTAATGGCCCATGTGGTTCGTCATGATGGACGCTTATAAAAAAGCGATCTGTGTACAATCCACTCCATTCTCTGCTCTAGTGACTGCAGCCTGAGATGAACATTTGCACCCCAGAAGCCACAGGGTTGCCTCATGTATTCTGCTGACATTCATATTGTTTGACCATCTGTTCCCATGATTGGCCTGCTACTCGCCCAGGGAAGGCTAAACAATACAAGAAAACCTTGTTTTGTCTGCATATTTTAATCCATAGTTCTTCTGCGCCCCCTGTTATTTGACCGGTCATGAATAAAGAATAAAGATATAAAGGTCAGAGACCATATCTCAAAGCATTAACAGAAAGGAAGTCTGGCATTAATCCAGAAACTTGCTTTTCATAGATTCTGTTCCAAAACTAACATTATAGACGCAGACATGATGTCCTGAAAGGGACAAGCCCCACTGTTTTTCTGCAGATAAAGAAAAATCTTTCCATGGATTTATAAACATTTAAACTTGTTTAGCACACATCTTATTATTGTGAAATATATAGAAATCTTGTTTTGTTGGCTGTTATAAAACCATGCTTTATTATAGGGGTCTGACTATGGTACAGTGTATTGCAGTTGCCATAAAGGTTCGGTCCTCCCAAAGCTGTCAAATTTTAGTAGATGCTGAAGGGTTAAAGCGTAATGGTAATGAAAAATCTGTATTTAAATGTAGAGCTCAAACTTATTTTATCAAAATAAATGTTGGAAACCTGTTGAGTTTTTATTTCTGTTTATGTCACAACTGGGAACTAGGGATGTCCCGATACTACTTTTTCAGACCAACTACTTTACCTCATGTATTTGCCGATACCAATTACCGATACTTTTTCTTAAAGGGACATGTGCCATTTTTTCTAAAACAACACAGACTGATGATTTTAGGGCAGTTTCTCACCAGGGCCAAATACACATACCACAGCAGAACACGTGTCCCTACAGCAGAACACATGTCCCTAAGGCAGAATAGTATTCTGCTTTGGAGACATGTATTCTGCTTTGGGGACATATGTTCTGCGAATACATGTCCCGAAACCAGAATTCCTCTCACTAGGCTGTGTGTCGATCTCACCCAGGCGACGTGGACATCTGCAGTGGCTTTGTGGGCACTCCACTTCACCGGCGATGCTGGGAACCGGCCTCCTCCACGTCCGGATCAGCTGCGCTGGGTCCCGGCCTCCTCCACATCCAGACCATCTCCGTCGCCTGTCCAGTCGACTATATCCGCTGCTGGGCCCCCCAATCTTCATCCATCTCCTGGCCCAGTTCTCCCCTGTCAGTGTGCGGCGGGAACCCCCAGCTTCTAGTCCTGGGGCGGCTGCTCCGGTAGTACCACCCCCAGGGGCTGTCCATGGCTCTGCCTGTGTCGGGACGGGGGAGGAGGAGATAAAGAACCGGACAGGCACTGCCATGGACAGCTAACTGCAGGTCCCCAGCAGGCTGCCAAGGTCCCCACAAGTGTGGGAACTCAGATGGCTGCTGCTGTTTAAAAATGTAAAGGGCCGGTATTGTCCTTAAGAATCAGGGCATTTTCACAAGTACATATACTTGTGAAAATGCCTTGTATCGGCCCGATACTGATAATAGTATCGGTATCAGGACATCCCTACTGGTAACCATTGTCACCTGTGCAGAAATGAGTAATCCATTTTTTTTGATCTGGAGGTGACAGGAAAGCTTCTAATAGTTAAAAGGTATACTCCCTAGCTTTGGTAGTATCTCTTCATACTTCCCGTTTTTTGTCTTTGGGACAATGAGTGAAGGGAAACGGGACACAGAAGACACAAAAAAAGGTGTGTATATAGTAGATATTATTAAATATATGAAGTTTGAAACCATTCCCTACCCTATCCAAAACTTTAAAAATGCAGTTCAGCTTAAAATTATTATTTTTAACTCCTTTCAATTGTTTTAATGTCAAAGTTCCATGTCAAACCACCTTATTGGTGGTTGTATCTCTTGGGAACTCTATTAGTGAGATCTCAGCACTTGAGGTCCTGGCCCTGCATACCTGCTGTGGCTATTATGAGGGGTTCCAACTCTCCATGTTTAGTTTTTAATTCATTTTAAGGCCTCATTCACATGGACCTGCACAATTTTACAGCTTGCACAAATGTGCACCAGAGGGGGGAGGGGGGGGGGTATCTGGTGTGTGCCGCTGCCTGTGCCGCTCAATGACAGAGGGCAGCTGCATGCAAGCCGGGCTGGACTTGCACATTCATACAGGTACGAATGCACACCCCTGGATGCAACTGTCTGCGTCCAGGGTCTTTCAAATATCTAAAATATGTAAGAAGCCAGGGGTCTTCCTGGCTCCACCTAATATTGCTCTTAAAGTGACATTAAAACCTCAGATTTTTTAACATAAAACGATACTGTAATGTGTGCCTTACTGAAATCCATGGTAGTTTCCCTTCTCTTTGCTGCTCTTCCTTTTAAATCTGTATCTGTTCTCATGCTGGGCAGAACTTCTGTTTTGCAGCAGACTGCCTTGTCTCTGAAATGGATACATGGTGTCTGTGTGCAGTTTCACAACCTGAGCCAGCACTACAGGAAGAGGCACTCAGCTGCAAAGGGAAGTTCTCCCCAAGCATGAGAAGACATGAGGATTTAAAAGGAAGAGCAGCAAAGAGAAGGGAAACTACCATGGATTAGAGTAAGGTACACATTACAGTATTGGTTTATGTTAAAAAATCTGAGGGTTTAATGTCACTTTAAATCGACTGACCCTTTACATGGACATCATATTTAACTTATTTTATGCTACTGTTGATTAGGAATATCAGCTCTGGACTACAAAACACCTCCTGCCATAGAGCAGGGATTATTAGGACTACGGAACATTGCTGTTTCTACAATAAGTGAACATTGTTGTCCTAGGACAGGAATTGCCACTGACAAAAAAACGTATGCAGCCGCCATATCTAAGGACTAAGTAAGCTGCAAAATATTACACTTTGGTTCTTAGTTTTAAATGATGTTTTCTATGCAGTGGTAACATTATGATTGTTTTTTTGTTCATAGGGGGTACTCTCCAACATCTCATCTATCACAGACCTGAGCGGATTGGACCCTGTGTGGCTTTTCATGGTGACCGGGACTATAATGTTTGTGCTGGGATTTGCAGGCTGCATTGGAGCTCTACGGGAGAACACCTCACTTCTGAAGTTTGTATGTGATATCGACACTCTCTTCTGTCCTTTCATGCTTGTCCTTATTCTTTTTTTAAAGTGCCTGAGGGAAGAGTTGTCTAAAGGTGGCCATATACTAGTCGAATTTCTTCTGAGTCCTGCTGACTCTGCCAACATTTAAGCAGTGTGTGGCCCAGTCAGCAAAAAGCAGTGACTGCAGCCAATTAACTGTAATCACTGTTAATGTATTTCGTCAGCGGCACACCCACCACTGTTAGAATACAATAGCCCAGGGTGGGGGGAGATCCCCTCATCCCCTCTGTTATGGATGGGGAAGAACAGAGAGGTTTATTTTCATTCAGCCATGTAACAGAAATTTAGTATATGGCCAACTTTTATAGTGGCCATAGACAGTCAGGTTTCTTGCCAGTACCAGTGGGTTGGAAAATTATGAAGTGAGGAAAACCATTAATATGAACAGAGGTTGTAATGCTACTTTAAGCATGGCTCACAGTTAGCATACTGTTTTTGCACTTCAAGAGGGCGAGAAGCACCTTGGGAAGTCAGAGCCACACATAACTGCACTAGAAGATTGAACAGTCTGTTGGCAAATTTCCCAGTACAGTGTGAAGGATACAAGCAGTACTGCACTGTTGCCAGGCAAGTACCACAGCAGAGGGTCCCAGCATTTCTTCCCATCATGCAAGCAAAAACAGACTTTTTCTATCTAGCTGCACTTGATAAGTGAAGCCCATGCATGTCCTGTTCTGTTAGTTAATGCTGATGGAATGGAAATTGCTGGCCAGGAAATTCTGTAGTATGGAGCTGCTGTCAATCAAATCACTCAGGAGCACGGGAGTGGCTTCTTTGCTGACTGTGGATGTCAGTGTAAGGAACATGTACAGATGTAGTCCTGTCTGGGTTTACACACAACAAGGTGACAACACTGGGTCTATTGGAAGACCCTGCAAGGCAGCATTGTTTTCCTGTGAGGAATGCTGCTGCATTTATTTTTATTGCTCAAAATTCAGTGCAAAACAGGAGCATCAATCAATTGAAAAATGGTTACTTAGGTGCATTTCGAAAAAATAAATGTCCATCAAGTTCAGTTACTAGAAATAAATAAAAGAAACGCCTACATCCACAATCCCCTAAATCCCCAGTTGAACCAGAGGGAATCAAAAATCATGTCCTATTTTTTGCTGCAACAGGGAAAATAATTTTCTTGATTCCCCCTAGGGCATTTAGATACACGCTGGATCAACCCTCTATTGTGCTGTTACTTATAAATATTAATTGCTAGTTATTTTCTGTGCATTTAGAAACACATCCAGTTGTTACTCATACATAGTTAGATTTAAAAAGTCAATAAAATCTCTGCACCATAATAGTGTATGTCCCTGACTCCACTTCTTAGGTATGCATGTGTTCTCTGTGAGAAATAGTCATGAATTATGAATCTGTCATATACAATTTCAAACACACAAAATGGTCTCCAATTCTTTGATTAAATGAGGCAGTCTGGCTTGCATTAGAGGGCAGATTCTTTCAGTAACTTTCTATGTTGGCTTACATCAGCCAGTCAAGTCCTTCTCCTTTTATTATAAGAAACCTTTTTGTATGTGCTCATTCTGATAAATGTCTTTTATCAGACGCATTGATTTTAAGGCCTATATTTTGGGAATTGAGTAACATGCAGTGGGGTGTTTGATGTTGGAGTGCCATTTGGCAGAGTAATGGAGTGATGGGTTATCTTTACTTGGATTGTAGGGTGTGGCAGCTTCTAGGGCACTTACCACCACACCTAATCACAGGTTCTAATAAACTACAGTTTTTCATAAAAAGACCTAAACAATACCATTATTATTATTATTATTATTATACAGGATTTATATAGCGCCAACAGTTTGCTCAGCGCTTTACAATATAAGGAAGACATTACAATCGCAATACAATTCAAGACATGATGGTAAGGTGGGCCCCGCCTCTGAGGACTTACAATCTAAAAGGGAGGGAGAATTGATACATGAAGAGGTAGCTGTGTGGGGATGAATTGATTGAGAACGTGGTGGTTCAGTGGTTAGGTTGAGGTGGGATACCATAGATTTAGCCCAACAAGATCATGTTGTGCAGTAGGGCAGATTTTTTCCTTATGATAGTAACTGTTGAGTGTTTGCCAAATTCTTCCTAGAAAGTGCCACTATATGTAAAATACCCTTGGAAACCCATACAGTACCCTCAAATGTAAATACATATAAGGCATAATGTTTTTTATATTAATCTTTTATAAGGTTGAACTAAGGTTTTTCATTGGAAAAGCTGTAGCACTGTGTTCCCTTGCACGTGACTGAAATTCTACTATGGGTACATCTACTGCAGGCTGAGGAACTCTGTACTAGGGGAGGCAGGATGGACAGGAGAAGGCTTTTTCTTCTGTGGAGGAGTCTAAAGTACTCATGTTCAAGGAAACAAGATTGATGCGTTTACTCATTTGTGGCTTTGCCAGAAATATATGCACCTAAGGCATGTCTCATGGATTGTTTTCTCCGTAACAATAAACCATGTCTGAAACAGATACTGCATGGTTATAAGAAACAAAAGTTATAGAGATAGAAACCCTTCAGGCACATTGTAAGATTCACTATAAAATTGTTAACTTTTTCAAAAACTCTTCTATAATCTATTTATTTTTAAGAAGCTGCAGGATAAAAATACAGAAGTAAAAATTGCAATACTCAGACAACAAGGAAAATGTGCAAATTGTAAAAGAAAGCAAATAAAGGCAGAAACGTAAGCAATTGATTCTGCAGTCATTAGAGGCCTGCACTAACAGAGGATACTACTAAACCTGGGTAAAAAAAAAAAATATATATACCAGAAACATGAAATGGAACCTCTTTTATACTGTATCGGTAAATAAAAATGAAAAACAATGCAGTGCATTTCCCCATATTTTGTCTCTTTAGGGCCCAATCATACTGGATCCATTGCGTTGCAATACATTTTCAATGGATGTTAATGTAAGGGCACCAAAAAATTTAAAGGGTGTGAAAGGGGCCAGTTCACACCTTTTCGGTTCCGTTGCGTTGTGCTGAAAAAAAAGTAAAAACATCGTAACTCAGTATGGAGATGAGGGAAGAAGTATTCTGTAGTTCAGCAGGGGAGACCTGGGCAGGGCTGACAACACTGCTTGGGATTTCTGTGCATCAGAGGAAGCATTCAACAGGTGCAATTTAGGAGCACACTGAATTTTTGTCAGTCCTGAGACAAAATATGGGGAAATGTGCATGCATTACAAAGTGATGTATCTGTTGTATTATGAAGTAGTGGTGGTTGTGGTGGTTTAATGGATACTAATAAATATTCATAATTTAGTAGTGGTGGTAGTTTAATGAATACTAATAAATATTAATAATCTAGTAAATTAGTGAATTATTATCATTCGCTTACTAGATTTTACATTTTTTATTTTGGAGACTAAAAATATCTAGCTAGTGACGTACAGTACAAAGCTTTGAATTCCGACTAACCCTGGTGACCAGGTCCCCGTTTGATAGTCTATTTATTTATTTCTCTTCTGCAGTTCTCGGTCTTCCTGGGGCTGATCTTTTTCCTAGAGCTGACTGCAGGGATCCTGGCCTTTGTGTTTAAGGACTGGATCAAAGATCAACTCAACTTCTTTATTAACAACAATGTGAAGGCATATCGCGATGATATAGACCTGCAAAACCTCATTGATTTTGCTCAGGAATATGTAAGCACGAATCTGTTATTTGTAGTTTGTCAGTGCCTGTCCGAGCTTCTTGCTGCATAGTGTTTCCCGCGCTTGTTTTTCATTTTGAATGCTGTGCTTTCCGTATTCATGTAGTTCAACACCGTGCCTCTGCTGTCCTCTAGTGTAAACGCTGAGGACATTCACTTTTGTAGAAGCTTTGTTTATAAATGTGTATCATTTCACACCCTTTATATGATGGATGGAAGCATGTAAGCATTTTATAGAATTGGACAACTAATGAACTTTGCTTTTTTTGTTTTTACTCTCAAAGTGGTCTTGCTGTGGTGCTCATGGACCTAATGACTGGAACCTCAATATTTACTTTAATTGCACAGACTCTAATCCAAGCAGAGAGCGTTGTGGAGTCCCATTTTCCTGCTGTGTGAAGGACCCTGCAGTAAGAAGCTTCATTTACCCTATTTCCATTATTTTTTTTGTTTTTTTTGTTTATGTATTGCTCTCTGTTCTCCATAATTTTCAGCTGTCATTTTATGGTCCATTAATAAAATGCGGGATGTGGTGTGAAGCCTCTGATGCCCAGAGGAGTTCTCTGCTTGGTGCAGCAGAGAAAGGTTAGTGATTAAAGAATGTCATTTGACTTTTACAGGTCACGTGGCTGGGCCCTCCTTCCAGTTTTGTTTCCCACACTGCATTCATTCGGTTCAATTGCTTTCTGCGGACTCCTAAAGCCGGTAGAACGCAGTGCACATTTATAAAGAACATTGCTGTGCTTTATAACAGTAGTTTGCAAATTAACAACAAAACTAAAGGTTCCATCTGTGAAGCATTTGTGCAAGTATATTTGTGTAGACCTGCATATTTGGTACCCTAGGGCCTTGACTGCTTAAAATCCATTGAGGGACCAGTGGATTCCAAGTTGTATTAGGCAATTTTTAAAGAACGTCTGTGATGTAAAACTTCAAATGAAATTGCGCCATGATAAACTAAAACACTGTAAATGAATAATTTGCTTAAATAGAAGAATTATGACCTGAGAGTTCATTGACAATGGGGCCAATCGCCTGAGTCTCACAAATGCCTCTGTGCTGTGGGAGAGGGATGCTGTATAATACGATGACAGTTGCCTCCAGCCGCAACTGTCTGCAAGTAAAGGCATAGGCTGGGCACCTCTGAATGCACACTGTTTGGTTCCAGATGCGATCGTCTGCAGACAATTTTTGCCTGCGTGATTACTTGTGAACAGCCTGCCAACAGCTGTGGGCTATTGTGTTTTATACAGCGCCTCCCGCTGGCAGCAGATCGCATGAACCTCACCGAGGAGTTTGTGAGACTCATTGGACTGACCCTACTCTCGGGTGTGAATGGGGACTAAACAGCTGGAGGAAGTCATGACTCATTCAAACTTTGTAGCAAGTCGCAAGGTGAGGGTCTGCTCTGTGCCGAACATGTGTAAACCTAGCCAATAACTGCACAGGCACCAGGATTCACAGGATTGTATTTTCTGAGCCAGCATCTTCATCCACAAAATAGATCCTGGCCCTGGAGGATGCCTGAACGAAGATGGCAGTGTTCTTCTGGAGAGAAAAGCAGAGAAAGACATTGTTAGGGGGAGTACTGTGATCTCTGTGAGCCCTAATAAACGCCTGTTAAATATGTGTTACACATTACTTGGCATGCATCCACCTAACAGCCGAAAGTATATCTGATGTTAATCCCACCCTAATCTTCTTCCAAAATATCTTAAAATTGTTATGCAGTCAAGCAGGGAACCTTCCTAAGGATAAAACTGTTTTTAGAGCGGATGGCTATCTCCTGGCTTTGGTAGTATCTCCTCATACTTCCTGCTGTGTCTTTGTGACAATAGGTGAAGGGAAATCTGCCTGGCAGGACACAGAAGGCACAAAAAAGTGGGTGTCTGTATAATAAATAAAAAAACTACGGCAGTGACCTAGCTTCCCTAGCGTATACTTTTCTGCAGAGCTACAGGTGCAATGGAAGCTGTCTGCATTTGTGTATATTGTAGGATATTGTGTACGTAAATGGTGGTTAGATGTGAATACCACAAGAGACAGTGCTCTGTGAAAGCCTTGATTCCTATCAAGCTTCCTTCTTAAGAGGAACTTTATCAGTATCTCAGATCTTATTCAGTGCTTATTCCCTGTGGGCTAGTAGTTATAGCAAGCTGTGTTTCTAAAATGAGTCATCTCTCTCTTCCCACAGGAGGACGTTCCCAACACTCAGTGTGGATACGATGTGAGGATGAAACTGGTAAGGCTGGTTCTTAGTAGCACCTTTTTGTCACTGCCGTGATAAATTGGAAGCGTGCTTGGAGCTTGGAATGATTTCAAACTTTTAGTTATTGGATTGAATGGCCAAGTTTTTTAAAAATAATTCAGATTTTTTTTATCTAACATACTTTGTGATCTCTGCAGTTCTTTTAACTTGTAATTAAATCAAGATGGTAGAAGTGCATAAATCTTGGAGGTACGTATGATCAATGAGTTGGCAAAAGCTCATTAGGTTCAGACCTGCACATTCTTAGGCCAAATTAGTTAGTTATTGGCCTTTCCTACCAGGTTAAAGCTGGCCATACACCTTACAATTATCTTCAGATTTTCTGTGGTCAGATGGAAAAGGTCTACACTTAACTGTGTGGATGGAGTAACCTCCACCTGGGCCAATCTGTTGCACTATTTCCATCTGACCACAGAAAGTCTGCAGATAATTGTAAGGTGTATGGGCACCTTTTAGACTGGAAACTAGGGATGCACCGATATATCGGCCCGAAAATGGCACTTTTGGCATAATGCCGAAACTGCCATTTTCTGGCCGATACAGTGGTGCATCTATTCTCTCTCTCCTCCCCACTGGGTGCTGGACTTTTGTCTTGCGATGCTTGTAAGGTAATAAAAAAAACATACCATCTGCCTATCTTGGACAGGCAGATCGTACTTGCGATGACCTGAGGGTCGAGCTTCCGATGACCGCAATGCCGAACGGGCAGTGTGCGCTTGCGCACACCGGCCCGTCTGGCTTTTATCTTACGAACATGCTACACACCCGCCGAACATGTTCCTAAGATAAAAGTCGTGCGACCTTACAGTAGTAGAGCCCGGGAGCACGGCGGGGGTTCCGGCGGGGGGGCGGCCCCTTCTTCGGGACACAGAAGCGATCTGGCTACAGGTAAGTCACCAGAATCGCTTCTGTTGTAAAGCCGACAGTCGGCTTTACAAGTTTAAACAGACTCCCGGCGGCTATTGTCTGTTTAAACAGCCCCAATGCTGGCGAAGTACACTGTACGTCGTCAGTCATGAAGGGGTTAAAGACTGGACTGTCAGCTGAAAATCTGGGTCTGAACGTGCGAATTGTGGCCGTCAGCTACCAGTCAATGTTAGGGCAGAACGGAGAGTGGCAAGACTGGTACAAGACAATAGAAGGGCAACAGTGCATCAAATGACTGCAGATCTTAATCAGGGATCCTCTCAAATGATCTCTGAACACCCTGTACGCCGTACACTGCATCGCATGGGATGTGGAAGCCGAAGGGCGGTTCGAACACCTTTGCTGTCTGCAGTTAACAGGATAAAACGTCTCCAATTCGCACAGGAACACAAGGATTGGACAGTCAAGCATTGGAAAAAAGTCATGCGGTCTGATGAATCACGTTTCCAGTTTTTTAAACATGAAAGCTGACCTTGACCATTCAGGACACGTTCCCTTTAATGCCCTCCTCCCCATCAGCACATACTCTCCTTTCCTATACTACCCAATTATGCTTTTTGACTGGCAGACATGAGAAAACAAAACTCTGTGTAAGCTCCACATTTTCCTTAATTGGAGCTTGCACAGAGTTAAGGATTCTCCTCCTGTCCCCATGTGATGAACAGTCACCAAGAGCCAGTGCTGTTAAGAGAGGAAGGAAACTGCATGAAGCTCTTAGGAAGACAGGATTTTTTTCTTTCCTGGTAGCTAGATGGAGCTGCGGGGAAGTGAAGGGAAGGGAAGTATGTTCAACTCTGCAGGGTAAAAGGTTTGCAACAAAGATGCAGATTGCTGTGTACTGTATATACTCAACCTTCTCACACAACCTAAAACCCTGTTGTGAGATCTCTGTGCTTTTACATTTTTGAGTCTGCATGCCTGCTGTGGCCATTTTGAGGGAGTTCCCACTCTCTCCTATACATATTGACTTCTTCCTCAAGAAAAGGAAGTACTGATATGCTGCATTTGGTAATTTCATTACCAGTTTATTGAATGTTGCTGGTTTTCTAACTAATTTTGCATGTTTCTTTTATGATTGTATTTTCCTTGTGAACAGGAGCTGGAGCAGCAGAGTTATATTTACACCAAGGGATGTGTGGGACAGTTTGAGAAGTGGCTACAAGACAATTTAATAATAGTGGCTGCAGTTTTCGTGGCAGTTGCATTACTTCAGGTCTGTATTTCCTTTTACTTCCTAACTATATTCTGCTGAAAGATGTCTACAATTTCTTGTGTAAATTGCAAGTCATTTATAAATAATGGAGACATACTGTTGACACGTAAGCTTCTTAAAATGTATATTCACATTAATGGCTGTGTTACTTTATCAAGAATGTTTGTGTTTAGTTATCTGCTGCCCTCTACTGGATCAAGTTCTCATTGTAGTTAAATGACTAATGTCCGGGGGGAAAAAAAGGAGGGGTGTGTGAGCGCACTGAAAAGGGGAGTGGTTGGGCGGGCGGTTGCATTATACAGGTTTTGCAGCTGTTTATAAATACCTTTCCGTCTGTTCACCTCTTAAAACCATTTTGAATTAAAGTAAAACTATGGTAAGCACCCTGGCAGGTTTCTTGGCCCCTTTCACAGTTCATTTGTTGGGCAGTTTCCTCTGCATACTTCTGTATATAAAAGCGTTTGAAATGGACACATAATCGGTATTTTAAACATTAATACTGTCATTCTAGGTTAACTTCCATTTGTTTTCAGAATACAATGAGGGGAATTTATCAAAACTGGAGCAGACAAAATCTGGTGCACTTGTCCTTGGCAACCAATCGGCTTCTCTCTTTCATTTTCAAATCATCATGCAACAAACTGAAGGTAGAAGCCGATTGCTTGCCCTGGACAACTGCTCCAGATTCTGTCTGCTCCCAGTTTTGATACATTTCCCTCAATATGTTTGAAGTACTGATCCTATACCTTCAGGCAAACAGTTGAATATTTGAAATGCACATGGGAAGTAGATATTCTATACAGCCAGTCTTGGGATTCACACATACCTGCACTCTGTATAGCCATGAGGATTATTCCTTGCTCAGTTTTACAGCCTCCTTTTTATCACCTGCCTGGCTATCTTTAATTGGCTGTATAGGCTGTGTGAGGCCAGGTTCACACCATTTTCCAGATCAGATCTGGAACGTGGTGCATTGCATTTTGTTGCAATGTTTTTGCATTCCTGCTCTGTTTGTTTTTTTTGTTAAACTTAAAATGGGCTTACAGGTGCGTTCCAGTGCTTTACATTACTGTCCAATGAGTAGCACAGGGTGTGCTAACCCATATGGGGTTCATTGTATACTTTACAGGGCCAGGGTGCTCTGCTCTATTAGCTTAAGGGCTCCGCTGGCTTAGAAGTACCCATCCAGCCATAACTTAAATGCTAGTTTCAGTCTTCAGTTTCTAAAGCCAGGATATCACAATTATTGGAGATGGGAACGCATGCTCACATCTTTGAGAGTTCGCTACTTGAATGTTTGTATGTAGGGGACTTACTGTAGTTAAAATAACTGATGGATACAATGCTGAACCTCTTGCAAACACTAATTGTTAGATCTTATCCAAGTTCCAGCTTGAAATGTACATCAATATATACAGGGGGAATATGTGACTTGGTCTCCCTGGAGTTCTTATTTTGTTGTGGAGAAAGCAACGAGGATTAAAATATCAGTGTTATAAAGCAGAGCTGCAAGCTCCAGTTGGGAGATCTTTGAATCCTGCAAGCAATATGTGGAAGAAGAGTTTGAGTTAACCAATTAGAACAGGGCTCAAAATTTCCACTGGCCAAATGCGAGCAGGCGAGCGGAAATTCCTGTCAGGCTTGCGGTCGCAGATCGCGTACCTGACTCGTGGGAGCAGCTGCTCCTGCTGGTCTGTCTCCCTTCCTTCCTTTCGGCCGGAGCTCTTCACTGAGCTCCGGGTCGAAAACGGAGTGATTAGTAATGTCTGCAGAACTTGCTAATCACACCAGATCACCAGGGATCTGCCTGCTCGCCTCTTACCTGCAGAAAGACAAGCAGGTGAGTGGGCTTCCTTGTATTATGTTACATTGTGGGGGCAAGGGAAAACTTGAAATTTTGACCCCTGAATTAGAATATAGTTTTGGGTAGCTTGTCCTTCATTTTGAAACTACGAAATACAGAAATTTTACTTAAATTCTTTTGTCCTGTGTTTCAGATATTTGGAATCTGCTTGGCTCAGAATCTAGTTAGCGACATAAGAGCTGTGAAGGCAAACTGGTGACACATTGCCCTGAATGTCCCGAGCCCTTTGGACTCTGTAGCCTACTTTTACAGGACTGCATCGTAACATCAGAAACTACTCGGCATGAACTGATACTGGAATACCTCCCTGTACTTCATAGTATTTCTCGGAATATTCTCGACTGTGGATGAGGCGATTTAAATGCAGTGTGTGTTCCGTCCTGCTGATTTGGGGAACAGACGTTTATCTGTGCAACAAGACCCACATCAGCCCAAGCTTCCTTCCCTCCCTGGAGGGGCCGGCATTGGAAGCAAAGATGTAATATATGTGCATGTATGATTCAGAAAGGGCAGTGTGACAGTGATTTATATTTATAAATATATTATATATATCTATATAACAAACAGGAGAGACTGCACATCAGTTGGACTTGTTTTCTAAGCCATGAATCTGGAAGGAACTACTTCTCGTAAAAACTGCTTCCAGGATGGTGTGGAGTGCTCACCTCTGAACCCTGTATTGTCAAACACTGGAGCCGTCGCAGCTTTATGGTTTGGTATTAATCATTCAATAGAGCTGCCAATGTGATTTTTGTATGGAATTGGGAAGGGGTGGGGGGTCATTTGTGTATTGATTTCTTTGTACTGGGACATGTATGCCTTTGCAACTGGTTACATTAGAATCACTTTATCTGACTGTAAACAAAGCAAAGTATAGGTTGGGTATCCCAACAGCACTGGAGGGGGATGCCATACCATAGAACCTTCATGCCAGATGTGAAGTGTGGTTTTGGATTTTTTTTTTAATTCTCTGTCACTGATGCTTTGGTAGCTTTTGCCCTTTAATAACCTGATTAGCATCAGCGTTCATATTTAGTTTTTCTTTTTATATGCTCAACTAACAGCCTTGGTTTCCCCTTAATATGATTGCAAGGGTTTGCATTCTATATGAACATTTATTGCGGTCCTAATGACAACATTGTTTACACATTTTTTTTTTTTTACCTTTTATAACTGCCAACTGTCATTTCACTCTCTTTTATGCAAAGCCTTGATGTCTATGTACATTAAAATGAGCTAGTTGATTGTATTAGACAAACCTCTAGCCCTTTTTATATCCTTGGATATGTAGGTAGAATTTTTGTTCATGGTTTCTTTTTTTTTTATATATATCTATAATAGTTAACCCTTGTATGCTTTTGTGTAGCTGGGCAACTTTTATATCCCACATGATGCTTTCCAGCTAACAGAGTACATCTTGTTTCTGAAAAAGCCAGTGACTCCAGGAAATTGGGCTTGTGCAGCAAGAGTAGATACAGAACAGCAAATGTCTCTTTTTACTTGTGTATCTTCTTCTCCTTTTTTTTCTGTTTTTCTCATAGTCCCGACTCTCTGTTGAGCCATATAGAAAAAAATAATCATTCCATACCTTGAGGTTACATTCCATGTATGATCACTAAAAGTACAATGACCAAGATAGTCTATTTTATTTTATGCCGCCTTTTTACATGTACCCAACCATACTTTTTTTATAAAATGTCCAAATGTAATTGTGCAGAATTCATTTCTACTTTTTGTTTCAGATTTGTACCCATCCATGTCAAGGGTTGTCATCTATGTTTTTCTGAATGAAAGATTTATTCCATATTTATGGGGACATGAGATCCCTCAAGTTCAGAAATGTACAATTACAACGTTTCTGTGCTAGATATAAATACTCTTAATACATAAATTAGGTATAAACAAGGTGAGGTTTTACAGCAAGTTTTGAACTGAAGCTCAGAGCTGCTGTAGATTGTACTAGGATGGTTTTACAAACCGTGGCAGTAGCCATTTAGTGGAGTGTAGACTTGTAATCCTCTAGGAACAGCGCCATAGGGCCCTAAAAGACATTGCGGAGTCAAACTGCATTTCCTGGCAGGACTGCCATTTTGTAAGCTGTAACCATGTTCTCCACTTCGTGTGGTTGACATGAACGTATTTAGACAATATGCACAATTAGAATGGCATGAAGGCCTTTTTCATGATCTACCCATCTTGCAATCCATTAATAATGTTTTGCAAATTAAACATAAGCAAGTGATTCAAACACTGCACTCTTGTGGCTACTACTCTTAAAGTGACATTAAAACCTCAGATTTTTTAACATAAAACAATACTGTAATGTGCGCATTACTGTAATTCATGGTTGTTTCCCTTCTCTTTGCTGCTCTTCCTTTTAAATCTGTATCTGTTCTCATGCTGGGCAGAACTTCTGTTTTGCAGCAGGCTGCCTTGTCTCAGCAATGGATACACGGTGTCTGTGTATACATTTGTATAGGCTTGTAACCTGAGCCAGCACTACAGGAAGAGGCCCTGAGCTGAAAAGGGAAGTTCTCCCCAAGCATGAGAAGACATGAGGATTTAAAAGGAAGAGCAGCAAAGAGAAGGGAAACTACCATGGATTACAGTAAGGTACACATTACAGTATTGGTTTATGTTAAAAAATCTGAGGGTTTAATGTCACTTTAAACTAGGAATGGCTTGCCATAGGGAAGGTTCCACTTGTGTATTGGCATTTAAAGCGACACTAAACTCAAGTACCTTTAACTATTCTTACAAATGTATCCTATTTGTGTATCACTCGGCTGTAGATCCTCAAATCATCTCTGAATTGGTGCTGACACTGTCCCTCATTCTGGAGGGTGGTTACTTTTGTTCCCCATGGTCCCTGTGTGTGTTGTAAAGTAGCCACCACTCCAAGCTCACTCCAGTGATGGACTACAATTTCACGTTTAGTTTACTAATATTTTATTGAGCTTGAAGTCCATCACAGGAGTGAGCTTGGAACGGTGGTTACTTTACAACACACACAGGGACCATGGGGAAGAGAAGTAGCCACCCTTCAGAAGGAAGGACAGTGTCAGCCTGAATTCAGAGATGATTTGAGGATCTACAGCCGAGTGATACACAAATAAGATACATTTTTGTTGATAGTTAAGGTACTTGAATACATTTTTAAGGTTTAATTGAGTTTAGCTTGACTAAGTTTCAGTCATTTCCTTCAGACCTTTGTCTTTGCACACAAAATGTTCACCTTTTTATCTCCTTCCGTCATGGAAGAAACGCATTTTGCCATTTTTATAATGTTAGTTGCGTTACAGGATTTTTTTTTTAAAATCAGGCCAGTAAACATTTACACTTTTCTGCTTTCCTCTCACATACGAGCAGATGTCTGCTGAAATGCTGCTTTTTGTTTTTTACCTTTTTATGTCCCTAAAAATTGTGAATGCTTTCAGATGTGCACATGTTTAAGAGTTTTCACTCTTAACTGACCAGGCGAACAATCGCGTCTCCAGCCGTCCGCACTTCATACCGCTGCACAGTTCAGTGGGATAATCAGGAAATCACAGTGCAATGTTACTGTACAAATTGTTTGACAAATAAAAGTCCTAAGACTTTACTCTTGAGTCTTTTGTCTTACTGGAGCGAGAACAATGACAAAAGGTGGTGGAATTCTTCACAAATTGTAATTGCATTTCTCATACATGTGCATTATGCTAGTAAAGCACATTTGAACCACATGGGGGAGCTGCCTACCAGCATATAATTATGTGAGCTTTCCTCTAGCATGGCCAAGGCGTAATTCAGACATTAGATGTGCTTTTGGCACATGTGCTAAGTTACATAGAAATGTAGCATTGTCACAGACCATTTAGTCATTTTTGTGTAAATTAAGTCCTTTTTGTTCTCTTATGATTGGTCTCTTCACCGCTGTGAGCCATAAATATAAAGAATACGTTGGAATGTGTCAGTGTTGGTGGTTACCCTGCAACTGTCATTTGCCATTAGGTGCTGTTCCTTTTCCTTCAAATGTAGCAACATTGGACATATTTAGACTTATCCAACAGAGAAATGTACAGAGAGGCCAGTCGGATTGAAGTTTACTGAAAGCACAATAGTGAAAGATAAATCCTAATGGGGTGATTGAGTAAGCAAAGTTGTTTTCTAATGCTATACACATGGTTTAGGGCTGATGACCATATGTGACACAATAACTTCAGTGTTATGGAGCAATCAGCCTGACAATGTAAGGCTCAATTCACAAAGCAATAATTGGATGTGTTATTTGCCGTAATGATTGCTATTTTCAGCCATGTGGCTATTTTCAGTTCTCAGCTCTGATTGCTGAAACACATTGTGATAAAAAATACCAATCACTATAGCTTAGGGCATTTGGGTTATTACAAAACCAACCTTTAAGGTGCCCATACACCTTACGATTATCGGACGAAACTTTTCGTCCGATGATCGAACCGTCGTACGATTTTCGTACGACGGCCCCATCCTGCCCCGATGATCGCAAGATTAATTTAGCCGTAATTAACGAAAAGCACCTGGACGAAATGCGGTAAATGATTTGCCGTATTTTCGTTGGCGCAAGCGCAGTGTAGATCGTACGACTTTTGACGGACGGAAACGCCAGCAACCTTACGAAAATCGTACGATCTAGCAAAGTTTTCAAACATGCTTGACCTCCAAAAGTCGTACGATTGTACAGTACTATCGGTCGGGCACTCTATTCACACGTTACGATTGTCGTACGAAAAGTCGATCGCATACGATTATCGTACGATAATCGTAAGGTGTATGGGCACCTTTACTTTGCGCATACTAGGTAAGATACAGGCAGCCTGTGGTGACTTCAGAACAGCTGACATTTTACTTAGGCTAATATGGCAAAATTCAGGTTCACTTCAATCGGGCATATAAACATGTGAGCTTTACTCCAGGGCATGGTTAGTGCACAGAATATAGCTGGGAAGGCTGATTATTTTTTGAGATTTCAGTTTGGCTTACAGGAAGTAACAATGTGTGTTAAAATCCATGTTTTAATGCACATTACTACAATGCCCAAAAATGCATTCTATGGGGTCAATTCATAAAGAGAAATGTTATTTGCTTTCTAGTTGTTAATTTACCTCTCCTTATTTTCCGTTTGAACACATGGTATTCACTAAACTCCCAATCGTTATTTAGCATGCTCATTAAGGCTTCCGACTGAAGTGTTAGGGAGTTATTTTAGCAACTGAAGCGTTATTTTTAGGTCTTGAATAAAAGAATTAACGTTTACGGTGTTAAAACACGTTTGATGCATTCTGGGACCAGAAGGGGAGGAGAACAGTGCCTACAAATGATGTATTTTCAAGAGACTGCACTGTATGTACGCACACAACTTTATTAAAACTATTGAAGTTTACATGTTGCAAAGTTTTTACAAAATACAACCCCACTCCAAAAAAAAAAATGATTATTTATATATATATATACATATATATATATATATAGTGTGTGCATGCATGCATATTACACAATTGTGCTCAAAAGGTTGTATACCCTGGCAGAAATCGTGAAATTTTGCCATGGAGATTGAAACTATAACTGATCATGCCAAAAAACTGTCTTTTTATTTAAGGATGGTGATTATATGAAGCCATTTATTACCACAGAGTTGTTTGGCTCCTTTTTAAAATCCTAATGATAACAAAATCACCCAAATGGCCCTGATCAAAAGTGTAGATACCCTGGAATGTTTGGCCTTGTTACAGACACACAAGGTAACACATACTGGTTAAAATAGCAGATAAAGGTTCATTTCTCACATCTGTGGCTTTTTAAATTGCAATTAGTGTCTGTGTCTAAATAGTCAATGAGTGTGTTAGCTCTCACGTGGATGCACTGAGAAGGCTAGATACTCAGCCATGGGGAGCAGAAACGACCTGCGTAACAAGGTAATGGGACTTTATCAAGATGGAAAAGGATATTA